AGGAGTGCGAGAGAGAGAGAGAGAGAGAGAGAGAGAGAGAGAGAGAGAGAGAGAGAGGGCTAAGTGGGGATAAGAATGTCTAATGATTAGTGTTAACCAATTTGCTGCAATGTTATGTGCCCCTTTCCCCGTTATTTTCTGCCTTTGGCTTCAGATAGGGGGCTCCCTTACCCTCAGGGATCTTGGGTCTGTTGAGAAGGAACAAGCAGCACGTCATTGGAATAACTGAACAGAGTCTTGGTCTTCTTGTGCCTCTGCGGGAAGGTAGACATGCTCTTATGTATAAGCTTTTCTGTGTAACAAATTGCCCTATAACCTGGTGGGTCAAACATTCATTTCTTACAAGTGTAAAATTTGGCCCAGCAATCTTGTTTGTCTCAGATGGGCTTATTCTTGCTCCTGGGCCAGTTAAGTTCATCTGGCAGCTCTGTTGATCTAGGCTTGGATCTCTCATACGTTTGAAGGCTGGCTGAGTGTAGGCTCGTCTAGGATGATGTAGGACCTCTCTTCTGGGTTCTCTAGCAGGGTGTTTCGACGTTTTTCACGTTGTAGGTATTCAGGTTGAGTGGGAGCTGCAGAGATCCTGGAGAGGTAAGCTCAGAACTGGCACAAGGTCCCTCTTGCCTTGTTGGCTGACACAAGTCACAGGCCAGCCCAGGTGGAGAGGGTACAGAAATGAACTCCACACATTTATGAGGAAAGCTACAAAGCTATACTGCAAAAGGTGTGGACTTCAGGAAGGATAAGGGACCGGGGCTGTGTTTGCAGCACTGTGTCTCACTGCCAGGTTTCTCCTTCAACACAGTTGCCAGTGTGAGGGGCACGTGCCAGCCCAGAGGGAGGCAGGATGCATGTCACAGGCCCCGTGAAGAGCCAAGAGCTACCTCAGGGTAGGGGGCTCAGAGCCAGGGAGCTGCTGGTGAGTGGTGGGGAACTGTATCTGTGCATTTTCTAGTACTGTAGTGAAATACTGGAGACTGGGTATTTTCTTAAAGTTTATGTAGCTCACAGTTCTACAGGTTCAAGGGCACAGCTTTAGCGACACCTTGGCTCCAGTCAGGACCTTATGATGGGTGCCATCACAGTGGTAGGAGAGGAGAGAGAAACAGAATCACACGGTAAGACGGGAAGCCAGGGAAAGACCAGAGAACTGGGTTAATTTCTGAAAAGGCCACGCCCCCAAGGACCTCACATTCCCTACTGGGCTACGCCTTTCAAAGGCTCCACCACACTGAGGCCAGGCTTCCTTCGCGGGAACCCTTGGGGGGCAAGCCACGTCCTCACCATCTTGGGAATCATCCATGCACCATGGCAGGGAGCCTGCCCAGCTCCCAGCAAGCTCCAGCACCACCAGCCAGGAGGGACAACTGAGCCAGAAGAAACTGGGAAATCATCTCCCAGGCCCCAAGATGTCCTGGGCAGGGAACCGAAGGACTTGGGGCACAGATGGTGTTTTTTATCTTGTATTCCAATTGGCGGCTAAGGCTTTGGAAGAGAAAGGAGCATATGGGAATTGAACAGCTGGCTAAGTAGATGCAATCGAAGAACAAGATTTGATTTTCTGGACGGAAGCTTAAGATGGGTTCTTGGCTGGAACCTAATATTAACCATCTTAATATCACACGTATGTACAGGAGCAATTGCTCAGACATGGCTGTGGATGCTGTGTTCTTTCAGTTTCTCTGTACGTTCACTGGGAGGGAAGGAGGGTGACTTTTTAATCCATTTCAGTTGGGGTGAAAGGGAAGAGCTCTCCCCCGGGGGTCTGGGGCTGGGACGGGTCAGGCCCGCTTTCCGAGTTTGCCTGACCCGGGACCCAGGGCTCTTGGTTGGATTCCCTGTGCTTCTAGGGAGAATGGATTGACCAGTGTCTTTCTGCCTTTTTAGGACCCACAGAAATAAAGAATTTGTATAGAAACACAGGATATCTGAGTGTGTCAAGATTACATGTATGTTTTACGTTGTGTAGTATGTATGGTATATGTGGAGTTCACATATACACGTGTGGGATATATGTGTGTAGGGAGTGGGGGGTGTGGAGTCTGTGTGTGCACGTGTGGGTGGCTAGTGCATGTGGGATGTGCGTGGGAGGTATCAGAGGGAGCTGTTTTCTAATTCCCAGAAGAATAAAAGCCAGAGAGAGGGTCCTCCGCGTGTCTGGGGCATCTACCTGTAAAGAACCAAGAGTAGAGACAGCGCCTTGTGCCCCAGATCTTCCCAGGGCCCAGGCAGCATTGGACCCATGACCTTTCCCGTCCACCTCCTTCCTGATGCCGTCTCTGGTCACAGCATCCCAGACCTCTGTGGTCTCTGGATGGTCATCCTCTGCCCCGCTTCGAAGGGGTGGCTGTTCTGTGGCGGCTCCTTCCCTTTTCTTCTGCAGCTCCCACAGGGACCTCATGGCCACGGAGCGGAGCGGGGCCAAGGTACGGTGTGGGCAGTGGTGACAGCCCCATGTCACCTGCGGCCAGGCTTCTCATGGTCCTGCCTCCTCCACCACAGCAGTGGAGGGGGTCCGACTTGGGCTGGCCAATCAGAGCGTCCGGGTCCTCTAGACAGAGCAAGACACCCATCCCCACCCCAGGCTGCGTAAGTCACCCCAGTCCAACCTCTGAGGGCCTTTGTGTCTGTCGTGGCCTTGCTGCTTGTGCCCACCCCTGTCCACCAGAACCCAACCCAGGGATGGATCTGCCACCTTAGACACCCAATAAAGGGGTGTTGACAGACCCATCAGCTCCCCAAGGAGGAAGAGGGGCAGGGCTCTCTGTGGCTCAGGGGCTGATGCCTCCACCTGGCAGCAGGCTGACACATCTGGGTCCACACCTTGAGGAATGTGCACTCCGTGGCTGTGTCCCAGCCATGACTTTCCAAGCCCTGCCCCCCGTCCAGCATGTGGGAGAGAGGAAGAGGAGGAGCCGCTTCAGCCTCCCCCTGCCCTTTCCGGCACCTCTGTCTGATGGGGACCATGTACCCTCGCTCTGTGATCGGTCCCAGGGTCCCCAAAACAGGGCAGGATTCAGCAGATGCACGGAAGGGTGCCTGGCATCAGACCAGGTCATATTCCACGGCAAAAATGTCACTTCCCTACAAACGATCTTCCTCTCTCCTAATGGCTTCGAGGAGGATGGCTTGATTTGGTGCTCAGGTGTTTTTAACACTTCTGTAATACTTGCTAATCTCTCGTCTTCTAACAGAGAGTGGGTAGCCCTCGGGCTCCATCTCACAGGCAGTAGCACCAAACGAGGCTTTGAAGATGTTATGTTCACTTTATTGTGTTTTCCTGTACTCAAATGATGGAAAACGAGAGCCCTTTCCACTGTTGAAGCAATAGAAAATTTCCTGTTATATCTGCTAGATATAAATGAAAGAGATGCCAAGAAAAAGAAAATTTAAATATACATTAAAGCACAGCTAATATTTGAGAACATCAACGGAGAAAGTCTGAAATAATGAAGCAGTGCTTGGCAGGGGTTGTCCCCAGAGAGCAGTGGCCATCCAGGACTGCCCACCCTGGCTGTGGACACACTTGGCTGAGGGTCACGACACAGTTCCTGCGACCTTACGCTGAGAGATGGCCAAGGGACAGTGTGGTGACTTCATCCTTCACCTGATGCATGCTGAGGACAGGGACCCAGTGACTGCAGGGGACTCCTTCGTTCTCTCTGAGAACACGACCCTGGCACACTGCCTAACTCCTGCTCTGTCCCCTCCCTGAGACCAAACTTTGGTCACACTCCTAAATAGGTTTCTGTCCAGTCTCCCTCACTGCTGTTCCTGTCCCCAAGCCTGGGTTCATCAGGGCCCTCTGGGTGTGCAGAGGCTCTGGGACAGGTGGTCTCGCTGGCAGTCACCCTGCAGGCTCCTCAGCCCACACCAGGGCCACTGTTTCCCACACTGTTGGAGCCCCAGACCTGTTTGTGCCACCACTGTCTTCCTGGGAGCCCTGGGGAGGAGCTGTCCTCTCTAGCCTTTGCCAAAGGCCCAGGCTTTGTCCCCAGGGGTGGGGCTTAATGGGTGGCTCCTAGGTCCCTGAGGTGTGCTCCTGACCTCGCTGTTACAGTCTCTCTGCTCTGGTTAGAGGAGTGGTGGTTCACACTGTCACTAGCTCCCTCCATTGCCACCGGCCTCCTGGTCTTGGATTTGGACCTTGCATGCTGTGAGTTAAATGAACCTTTTCTTTTTTTAAAATTGAGTTTATTAGTACATTTTAGGGATACAGTACAGTTACATTCATTACTGGGATCTTGTACCTCTACATGATAGGTCTTGGTTCTCATCCTTCACCCGGTCTTCCCCTCCCCATTTACAAACACTTTATTTCCATCTTTTCATTTTCTCACATTTTTTTCTTTTCCCTTAGTACCTTTCCCCTACCCTTCCCACTTTCCCTACACCTTTAGACCTTTTCTTCCCATTTCACAATGTCAGTTATCTCATTAGGATCTTATGTACTATTACAGTTTATTCACACCAGAGAAACTATTTGGTATTTACACATGTGTGACTTATTTATTTCACTTAGGAGTTTATCTGCAATATGTATCCATTATCCTATGACTGACTCTAATTTATCATTTTTTATGGCTGACTAATATTCCATTTTATAGAAAAACTACATCTTCATCCAGTTTCCAACTGATGGGAAAATGGTCTGTTTTCAAGTTTTAGCTATTACAAACTGTGCCACTATAAACATGGATGTGCATATATCACTATAATATGATTCTTTTAGTTCTTTTGGAAAGAAACCCAGCAGAGGGATGGCTGGGTCAAATGGCACCTCCAGTCCAAGCTCTTTGAGGTGTCTCCATATTGATTTCCATAGTGGTTGCACCAGTCTGCACTCCCACCAACAATGAATAAGGGTTCATTTCTCCCCACAACCCCACCAACATTTGTTATTGTGTGATTTCTTGATTGCAGCCATTCTTTGTGGGGTGAGGTGGAATCTCAGTGTTGTTTTAATCGCATCTCTCGAATGACCAGTGATGTGGAACATTTTTTCATATATTTAAGTGCTGCTTTTACTTCTTTGTCTGAGAAATGTCTGTTCATTTCAGATGCCCATTTTTGAACTGGGTCTTAATATTTGGGGTGGCTGATTGTTTTGAGTTCTTTACATATTCTAGATAATAGCCCTTTGTCTGAGGAGCAGCTGGTAAAAATTTTTTCCCACATTGTAGGTTGTCTCTTAGTTCTGTTGATGGTTTCTTTTGCAGTGCAGAGGCTTTTTAATAAGATGAGATCTCAGTTGTTGATTCTTTCTGCTAGTTCCTGTGCTACTGAGGATTTTTTCATAAAGTCTTTTCCTGTGCCATTGTCTTCAAGAGTTCTGCCTAACTTATCTTCCAGCAAGTTTAGTGTTTCTGTTTTAATATTTAGATCTTTCATCCACTTGGATTTTAATTTAGTGCATGGTGAAAGATAAGGGTCCAGTTTTAATCTGTGGCAGGTTGAAATCCAGTTTTTCCAACATCATTTATTGAAGAACCTCTTTCTTCCACTGAGGATGGTCAGCTCCTTTGTCAAAGATGAGGTAGCTGAGTATATCTGGATTTGTTTTGGGGTCTTCCAATCTGTTCCACTGATCTGCAGATCTGTTTCTTTGCCAGTACCATGCTGTTTTATCACAGTGGCTTTGTAGTATAGTTTCAAATTGGGAATTGTTACACCTGGTGCCATGTGTCTGTTGCCTAAAATGGCTTTTGCTATTCTAGGTCTCTTATGGTTCCAAATGAATTTTTGGATTCTTTTTTCTAGTTCTGTGAAATATAGTGTTGGAATTTCAATTGACATTGCATTGAATCTGTATAGCAGTTTTGGTAGTATGGCCATTTTCACTATGTTGATTCTTCCTACCCAGGAGCAGGGGATATCTTTCCATTTTTTAATATCCTCTTCAATTTCTTTTTTCAGAGTGCTGTAGCTTGCAGTGTAGAGGTCTTTTGTTTCTTTTGTTAGATTGATTCCTAGATACTTCATTTTTTTTGATGCAATTGTGAAAGGAATTGTTTCCCTAATTTCACTCTCAGTGAGTCTGTTATTTGTGCACAAGCAAATCAATAGATTTTTGGGTGTTCACCTTGTATTCAGCTACTCTACTGAATCTGTCAATTAAGTCTAGAAGTCTTTTGGTGGAGTTTTTTGGGTCTTCAATGTAGAGTATCATATCATCAGCAAATAATGACAGTTTAACTTCTTCCATTCCTATCTTTATTGCTTTAATTTCTTTCTCTTGTCTAATTGCTATGGTTAATATTTCCAGAACTATATCAAAGAGGAGTGGTGATAGTGGGCATCCTTTTCTTGTTCCTGATTTTAACATGAAAGTTTTCAGTTTTTGACCATTTAATATGATGTTGGCTGTTGGTTTTTCATAGACAACCTTTATTAAGTTTAGATATAGACCATCTATTACAATTTTTTGCAGGGTTTTTGTCATGAATGGGTGTTGAATTTTGTCAAATGCTTTTTTCTGCATCTATTGAGAGGATCATATGGTTTTTCTCCTTGACTTTGTTAATATAGTGTTTTACATTTATTGACTTATGTATGTTGAACCATCCTTATATCCCTGGAAAAAATTCGACTTGGTCAGGATGTATGCTCATCTTCATGATCCTCTGTATTCTGTTTGCTAGTATCTTATTGAGGATTTTTGCATCTATATTTATTAAGGAGATTGGCCTGTAGTTCTCTTTTTTAGTTATATCTTTCCCAGGTTTGGGAATCAAAGTGATACTTGCTTCCAGGAATGAATTTGGAAGTATAGCTTTCCTTTTGATTTCATTGAAAAGTTTGAAGAGTAGGCAGTAGATCTTCTCTAAATGTCTTGTAAAATTCAGCAGGGCCTGGGCTTTTCTTTGTTGGTAAATTTTTAATTACATTTTCAATTTCACTGACTGTAATTGGGGTGTTTAAAATGTTTTTATCTTCTTTGTTCAACTTTGGTAATTCATAAATATCTAAAAATCTGTCCATTTCTTCTGTCTTTTCCAATTTATTAGAGTACAGGTTCTCAAAGTAGGTATTAATGATCCTCTGGATTTCTGTTGGATCTGTTGTGACTTTGCCTTTTTCATTCCTGATTGCATGGATCTGAGTCTTTTCTTTCCTTCTTTGATAAGGTTTGCTAAGGGTTTATCAATTTTATTTATTCTTTTAAAAAACCAACTTTTTGTTTCATTTATTTTTTGTATTGTTTTCTTAGTTTCCATTGCATTGATTTCTGCTCTAATCTTTATAATTTCCTCTCTTGTTAGAGCTTTGGGTTTTTCTTGCTTTTGTTTTTCTAGGAGTCTAAGATTTATCATTAGGTTGCTTATTTGAGCTCACTCTGTTTTCCTAGTGTGGGCATTCACTGCTATGAATTTTCCACATAGAACTGCTTTCATTGTGTCCCATAGATTCCTGTATGTTGTATTGG